TTTTTTCAGTGATACTCGCCTGAATCCGGAACCTGGCTGGCGCTGGAGGACGAGCTGGGCATGGGGGAGAAGGGACCTGGGAGAAGAAACGAGTTCCATTTTACCCGTTTCCATCGGATAACTCATAAAGACTGACAATGTCTGAGGAGGAAGTCTCAGCAGAGGGAGAAAGAAGGGGTGTCAAGGAATTACATTTCTCGGTTTTGGAACGTTTACACTGAATATTTCTCGTCTGTAGGGAACGGTGGGGATGCCGCCGAGTCCCGCACCCTCCCCGCACAGCGCGGACACGCTACGATGAGGGACACACCCCCCCCCGCGCTGAAATCCCCCATTTCTGTGGGGGTGTTCGGTCTGCCATCCCCACCACCACACCAAAGCGCTCCCATCCATTCCGGGCTCTGAGTTAATTTTTAATTAGGCGGGAAAGCTTTGGGAACGGCGATGTTTAACGCAGAAGAGGACGAGTAGATGGTAGCGGGGGTTTTAAATCCTAATTCTGTTTTTCACAAGGGTGCGAGGGCCGAGCCGGGACCACCTCGCTGCAACACGCGTGTTTTTGCCAGAGATACCCCAGCCCTGCACCCACGAAACCCGTGGGAGAGGGGACAACCTTCCCAGGGGAGTAACCCGGAGAAACCCAACCTTTCGGTGCTCGTCCGCCCCAAAAAGCCTCAGCTGGGTGCTCCGGGCTTTACTCACCGCTGCGGGGGCACAAAGAGGAGCTGAGCTCTCGGATCCCACCCCCACCCCCCTCCACACCAGGCGTCATGTTCCCCATGCTGGAAAAAAGTCATTTTTAAGGGAGAGTGGTAGACACGCAAGCTAGAAGGGTGGAAAAATACCTCCCCCCCACCCCTAAAATCTCCTGTCCCGAAAGAGCAGAAGTGGGAGCGCCACCGCCATACAGATCTACAGGGTTAAATTTCAGAAGGTGTCCATTAATATCAATTTACTTCAATGAAAACTTTGGTTCTTCATGAAGTTGATGATTTATGATAAAATCAATTAAATTACCGCCACTTAGGGCCTGCGGTTTCTTCTCAGATTTCATTCGCCAACAGATCAAGCGCTTGGTAAAAAATTTCAAGTTTAGCTGGAGGCAAGTAAAGATAATTCTGAAGCTGAGGAAATTTGATGCAAAGCAATTTTCAGCAAAAAAAACCCCAGACGCTTGTGTATCCGAGCCCCTGCTCTCTGCCAATAGGCCCGGGGGGAGCGTCGGACCAGCCTGTCAAAGCCTTCGCAGCAGGTAGTTCTATCTCACAGCGTCGGAGCTGAGAAGGTAGGAAAGGCAGAGCTGCAGGATTTTTTATTGATTTATTTTTTTTTTTAACTTCTTACCTGTGATACTGTCCGACCCGGGACTTCAAGAAGAAGGAGCGAAGCCGGATCGGGGAGGTGCGAGTTCGCGAGTGGAGCAGGCAAATTAAGGAGAAGAAACTACTTTATTGCACCCCGGTGGATCTTGCTGACAGCTTTCTCGGACGGTTTGGATTTTTTTTTTCCCCCCAAAGATGCTTTGATTTTTTTTTTTGGACTCGCTCGATTCGCACGGAACTGATTTGACGTGGAGAAAAACCAGAAACTCTTCCAAAACAACCGAAAGTATTG